CGTCCGCATTTGGTCCGGTTTATAACGTTCGCTGGGGGACGTTCGGAGGACGTCCGCATTTGGTCCGGTTTATAACGTTCGCCGGGGGACATTTTGAGGACGTGCACTTTGACATTATGGTACAAAACCATAAAAACAAGAAGTGTTGGTGGTAAAATACTGCCTATTAGCATTTTTAGCACATGTTCAAATGAGATATGCTTGAGTGTTCGCAAAAACAATAATAAAAAAAATTTGAAAAGTGCCATTGTCCCGGAGTGATAATCCTAGGAACGGGTCATAGCTTTAAAATAAGTTTTAGATTCATGCTTTAATAATGATATTTTTATTCAAGTAGGTTATAATTCTAATTTATGTTTGTAAATATATGACTTGATGCGTTTTAACGGGCATGCGCGTGAAGTTGAGTTGCCATGGAAACGGAGGGTCACCGGTGCAGACAGCAAAACTCCGACTCTCCCTGTTTTCACTGCTTTCAGGTGAGTTTAGTCTCTAAAATCACACAAACAATACACACGACTGTTCTTGACACTTCTCTTAATTTTAACTGGCACGCTTCTGTTTAATATTTAACGTTACTTTATAGAAATGGGTTAGTGTCTTCGAAAAAATCAATTAGCATCACTAACCGTTTAGCTACAGAAGAATTAACGTAAGGCTAACGTTATAGCTTGAGCTTTTGTTTATGAATGTTTGGGCTTTTAATCACATTTTATGTGTTGATTAGAGGTTTTGATATTTTTGTAGCCTAAATTTTGCTTGGAAGTGAGCTAAAAACGTATGTATTTAACATAAAACGTTACGTTTTATTACTGTTAATCGATGACGTCACTTACACGGCTGAAACTAGCTAATGGTTCATAAATATTGATAAAAAGAAAAAGTATGTGATTTCAGCAGCAACAAGATAACTGTTGGCTATGTGACAAATGGTTTGTTGTGTTCCTAGATCGTTCCATGCTGATGCCCTGCTCAGTAGCAGAGTTGAACTGACCATCATCTGAACCTGGCAACCGGACACGCAAACACACACGCTCTTTTTTGATAATGAAAATAAAATTATTTTGTTTCCTAATATTCCTTGTTGTGTGTTTGTTCCTTGGGTAGTTAATATGTTAAAAATACTTCTAGTGAACGTTAAAGTTCAATATAGAAGTCTGAAAAGTCCCCGAATGTTTGCTGAACGTCCCGCAAACGTCTCCCGCGACGTCATGTGAACGTCCCGCGAACGTCCCCCGCGACGTCCTGTGAACGTCCCGCAAACGTCCCCTGCGACGTCCTGAGAACGTTTAAAGAACCCTACACGAAGACGTTCAGGGGACGTTCGCAGTGGACGTTCAGGGGACGTCCTGGGGACGTGTTTTTGTTAGCTGGGGTGGTAACACTTTACAATACGGGTGCACTAATAAGCATTAATTTATGCTTAACTAATGCACAGAAAATACTGAATTAATGTGTAACTAATGATTATCTAATTTATTCATTAATGATTACCACTTTAGGAACTAATTAAGAGTCTGTAAGGTTAATGTATTAGTTCATACATTAACTGTTATTAATTAAATATGTAATTGTGGATTAATTCCATAATAACTCATATTTTTTTTTAACTAACAGTGTTAATTAATATGTTAATTACCAGACTGAGCCAAAGCCTTATATTTCAACTTCCAGATAATATGCCTGGTACACTATGCATTAATACATGATTATTTACTTCATTGTTAGTGCAAATGCATGTGCAAATTGCTAAATGACTAGTTAATAATGATGTGCCCCAACAAGTAAAGTCATAACATAATGATACCTTTGCAAATCATTAGCTAATGATTAATTAAAGCAGACAACTGGAAGTTGAAGTGCATAGCTTTGACTAATTGTGGTAATTAACCGATTAATTTACACTATTAGTTAATAAAATATGTTATTAAGGAATTAATACACAATGACACATTGAGTTAATAGCAATTCATGTATTACTTAATCTATTTATCATATAGACTCTTTATTTGTTGTTGATGCAGTAATCATTAATTAACGGTTTAGTTCTTCATGAGTTATACATTAACTCATGATTATCTGTGCATTAGTTAAGCATGAATTAATGCATATTAGTGCACCCGTATTTACCGCTAATGTTGATATGTTCTCATTTTGACAGTTTTAGCCAAAACTGCCTGATCTCTAACCGTTAGGCTACAATCCCCATTATTCACTAAAGTGAGAGAACCTGCACCACAGGGCAACACACTGTAGTCAGAAGATGCCTTGAATAGAAAAGATTATAATCTTGTAAGCATGTGATGAAGCTGTGACTGGCAAATAGGTGCAAACAAAGGACACAACGTCAATCGTTGTGGGTGGGGGGAGTGTGTGAGTGAGTCTTAGGCCTTAAACTTGTGATCACAAACAAATGGAAATGTGCACCCTCAGGGGTCCCAGGACTGAGAGAGGAATTCAAATGCACGTCACAGGACATCCAAATTAGATTATCTCCCTTGTGTTTCACTCTTTGTCTGTGTGTTTACGCTTTACAACGTTTGGTTATAATTTTCTGTCATATGATGCAGGCCAGGGGGAGGTTTTGTGGTCATTTACTTCAATGTCATGCATTTCCTGCTCATATGAGCTCTTCAATACTTTGCGTCAGTGGCATTCACCTGATTATTATTGTCGACTGCTACTGATACGTGAAATATTTCAGTTTATCAATGGAACCATGTAGATTAGGCCTCGTTTGTAAGGTATATCCCCTTCCAATTTAGTTTTGTGTTGGTGGAAAGGCAGTTACATTTAAAACTGAAAGCTAAGAATGTGTCTATTCTTGAGCTAATCCTGCTTTTAGAATTAGGGATTGATTTGAGCTCTCTGCTGAATCGCTTTGATTGTCTGTGTTCCTGGTGGGTATTTAGTCTTGCCTGCCTGGTTAACCTCATGGATATGGCTGGATGTGTGTCAAAGACACTGATTATTACCTGACCTGACTATGGTTTGAGTTGGCTGACTGCGCTACTGGTCTTTATAAAGCGTTTCTTGTGTTCTTTAACAGGAGCCTAAATTACAGACAGCGTACATTTATTTTCAGGTAGTGGAAACAGGCACAATGGTCCCAATCTATCATTTTGTAGAGACTCCTGCAGTCTCAGTTTTAGATGAGGGCTTTTGAGGCTAAAGTAGTTGATGGATTTACCAAAGTGTGCGAGGTTTGCAATAAAAGTCTAGATGCTCAGAAGATTTAGATGTTGAAAGTTTGGTTTGTTGCACTTAGTAGCAAATAAACCAAAGTATATATATATATATATATATATATATATATATTTCCACAGAGCATTTACAAAAAATACAAATACAAAAGTTTTACATGCCACTACGATGGACATCATGACTGAAGCAACATAAAACAATCCTCATATATTAACCATAGTTTGTGAATTAGTGTTGAAATAGTGTAGAAGATTTTGAAAAGAAGACGTACTGTAAGAACGAGCGATTCAATAAGAATGTAGAAAAATAGGTAAGATGATATAAAGTTGTTCTTTTGTTGGTTGCCGTGGGTGAATCTGAGTATATCTGAATATGTCTTTGTGTATGTGTGTGTACTTGCTGATTGTTTTAATGAATATATTATTGTGTGCATTATAGCATCAATATATCAGTGTGTGTGTGTGAGACAGTGTGTTGCTGTGTATTCATTGATCTCACATCCGTCCACTGTGGCTATTTCTCACTGAATCCAATGAAAAATTGATGGACAATTTATGTTCACTTTGAAGACATGAATAAAGTCATATTAACCATGTTTAATAAATTAACATTAAAATGAAAACATTAACATTTCATGATATCTTTTAACACCTGATGTCCATTGCGATGGACATTCAACATTCATTCAACAAAAAATCCTGTGTTTTACGACTCTGAAAGATCTTCAAACTAACTTTGAATATTATAACTTAATACTACTAATGTTATGATAGGTGCAAGTTGATGAAGCTACCATGAACATAAATCTGCATATGAAAGATAAAGACAATCCTGTCCAGTTGGTCTTTTGTGATGCCTGAAGCTCAATCAGATTAAAGGATTAGTTCACTTTTGAAAAAACTTTTGCTGATAATTTACTCACCCCCATGTCATCCAAGATGTCCATGTCTTTCTTTCCTCAGTCGAAAAGAAATTTAGGTTTTTGATGAAAACATTCCAGGATTTTTCTCCATATAATGGACTTCAATGGGAACCGGATGGTTCAAGTATCAAAAGACGGTTAATAGCTGTTTCAGATGCAGCTTCAAATGTCTTTAAACGACACCAGACGATGAATAAGGGTCTTATCATGCGAAACGATCGGTTATTTCAAAACTTATTCCAAAAATGTAACTTTTCTAAGGACAAATGCTAGCCTTGCTAAACGTTTGTAACGTCACGTAATACGTAATTACGTTCAAAAGGTCACGGGCGACGTAGCCGGAAGTACAGAATCAAAATCGTCCGACATCGTTGTTTTTCCTTTTAATTCCTTTTTTTGTAAACGGCGTTTGAGCTAGTTTGCATGTTCAACCTATGCGTTCAACTTGTAAATACTGACTCTGTACTTTCGGCTACGTCGCCCGTGACCTTTTGAACGTAATTACGTAATACGTGACGTTGCAAACGCGCCTCACAGAATAGAGCAAGGCTAGCATTTGTCCTTAGAAAAGTTACATTTTTGGAATAAGTTTTGAAATAACCGATCGTTTCGCATGATAAGACCCTTATTCATCGTCTGATATCGTTTAAAGACATTTGAAGCTGCATCTGAAACAGCTATTAACCGTCTTTTGATACTTGAACCATCCGGTTCCCATTGAAGTCCATTATATGGAGAAAAATCCTGGAATGTTTTCATCAAAAACCTAAATTTCTTTTTGACTGAGGAAAGAAAGACATGGACATCTTGGATGACATGGGGGTGAGTAAATTATCAGCAAAAGTTTTTTCAAAAGTGAACTACTCCTTTAAGTTAGGGGTCATAATGTGAATGAATAATTACTTTACCAGTGTCGCCAGAATTAGCTTTAAAAGTGGAAGCTTTTCAGTTTGGCTACACATCTGCCACATCTACCTTACAGTTCTAAACACAGGGCTTTTGCAGGGCTCCTTATTTGAGCTGGATGGCATATGCGTATCGCTTCCCCAGGGGGTGGGCATGCCGCCATGGTCGTGTGGTCCCAGCCCCCACATCAGAGCACAGGAACTCCCACATCCGCTCTACCCGTAGCCCACTCCATCAAGCTATTTAAAGAACTAAGTCCGAGGGGAGTTGAATTACGCCCAGACGCCTATAATCACTTCCATCAGCCCTCCACTTTAGAGGAAGGCCTCCATCTTTCTTAGTTAGAACAAAACATTTTCCACAGAGCAATGGACAGCACCAGCTGAGCTGAGTCAGACCTTGAGTCACTGTCATGGGTTGATGCCTCCGTTGCAGAGGTGTTGGAGCTGTTTTCTGAATGCTGCCATTGTTCTGTCTTCAGCCAGGCTTTAAGCAAGGCGTTCCAATTGTTGGCAGTCAATGAGAACTGATGTTGGGGATGTCAGCAGGGTTGTGGATGTGGTTTCTGTGGATGAATCCATGCTCGGTTATTGTTGTGGAAACTACAAAACTCCATCCTAACCATTTCCTGCTTGTCATAAGTGTTTTATACGAACCTGTTAATGTTTCATCCTGACGTCTCGTTGCTTGATGCCATTTTTTTCTCTCTGGATTTTGCATGTTTGATTCCCTTCATTGGATATCTGCATCCCAGTCACTGTTGACGACAACAAAATGTGATGTTTAGTTCAAGGCCTTGTCCACACGTTTGAAGACTTTTTCTCTCCGTTTTGGCCTTTTGTCAACACTGAGACGACATTTTTATTAACGACAACAAACCTTTTTGAAAACGCTCAACAATTGCGAGAGTGTAGTGTGGACTGTCAAAACAGAGGTATTTAAAAACGATGGCGTACGATTATTCATGTGACGCATATTGTACCAGTATATTCATGGATATACCAGTATTGTGCCTGTTATGTGCTAATCACGTTCACACTGCTAATATGTTACTTTGCACACTCTTCATATCACAGTCCTGCAAAGATGACAGAAAATGTACTCACATTTGCTGTCCTGCAGCAAAACATGAGAGCAGTTGCATTTCAGACCAAACGTATTGCGAATAGTGCACTCAGTGAATGGTGATATATCTTTTTAAATAAAATTCTGCCAGAAGAATTGCGCGATAACTTAATTATTTAACTTTCCATCTGTATCATCTCAGTGAGCTTTTGTGAGGTTTTACGTATGCGCAGTGAGGCGAATTTTCCGACATTTCAGAGTGGATGAGAGATTTTTGGAAAACGCTAGTCTGGACGGAGATTGTTTTTAAACAAAACCGCCGTTTTCAAACGCATCTGGATTAATGTGGACGTAGCTAAAATGGATTGAATTTTTTCCTTCTGGAGCAGATGTGTGTCACAACAGATAAGCATTTCAATAATAAGCCTGCCGTTACAACGGCCTGACAGTGTCTCACAAAAGTCCCGTGCTCGCCGCAATATGTTTTGTGTGGTTTAGACAAAGGAAGGAAGGACAGGGTGAGAAGGGCTCAAATCAGGGATTGTGTACATTAGAGAGTCGCTTAAAGTAAAGCTGGAGTTGTGTGTGATGTGGTTAGCCTTTTGCACATGGAGCTCATCTTTTGTTCGCTGGCTGGTTAGATCAGAGCAGCGCTAGCCGGAAATGGGCCTGTCCCGCTCTGCCCGCCACAAAAGGGGCTTTGAATTCTGTGGTTATCTGCTCCAGTAGGCCTGCTGTGAGCCTGTCAAACAGCTCCATTATGAGCCTCCTGTGTCTGCTCTATTGCGAACAGTTCTCGATGGAGTGACTGCTATCTGCATTAGCATCATGACCGAGAGGGGATAGTTACTCAAAAAGGGTCCGATTACTAATTTTTAATGTAGAATAAATTATTAAAATTGTTATCAGATTAGTTCGTCTAGCAGTGGAAACTTTAAAACTTCAAAAACGTCATTTAATGCCTATAAATCTTCAAATTTCTCTAATTCTTTTCTAAAATGGCTTGACTTTCTCAAGCCAATATTCAAAGTCTTGACAACTTTTTCTTTTCTACTTCAAATTCCATTCGAAGAAATTCATATTGAACGTATTTTTCTTGCATTTTAAGTATTTCATTGGCATTTAAGTGGCATCCTCAATTCTATTCTGCTTTCTTGTTGCTGTAAAAAACAGCTGAACTACTATGGAAAATTTAGTGAAATACATTTGCCTGAATGCATTTTTTTTTCTCTCTCTCTCTCACATCATGCTTTCCTTGGGAGTTAAACCCATGACCTTGGTGTTGCTAGCGGCATGCTCTATGGTTTAGCTACTTAGCTACTTTTTGATTGTAGTATGTTGCTACTTTTTTCTAAAGCTTGTCTAATTTTCTTTATTGTCACATAATTACGTGTAATCCACTACACAGAACCAGCTCGACTCGGCTCGGCTTTGTTTGGTTTTCCACTGTGTAATAGGTGTACCTGTACCTGCTTTCGGGTACTTTTTTTGTATTAACTCCGGCAAGGTTCTGAGCGAGCTAAGGCGAGCTGAGCCGATTCTAAAATGTGACGTAAAAACAATACCGACTGCTGATTGGTCAGAGAGAATCGTCACCATTCACTGCGTCATCATTGCACGTGCCAGAAATAGTTTGGCCAGAGATAGTTTTTAAACTTACTAATATTCTTATTATGGCATACGCTGTGGTCAAACGAGGAGGTGCAGACTTTCCTTTGTTTGGTTGCCGAAGAGTTGATCCTGCGAGAGCTTGATGGTGCAACGAGGAACGAAAGGTGTTGCTATGACGACCGGGTACTTTTTGTGGCGGTACTGTCTGCAATGAAAAACGGAGCAAAAAGCGAGTCGAGCTGGTACTGGTAATGGAAAAGCGCCAATACTATTCAAAGTATTCACTTTTTTTAAACCGTTTTCTGTGTTGATAAAATATTGTCATAGAATGACCATTCAATCAAGTATTCATTTTGATAGGATACATAGGAAAATCTCGAGGGGAACCAGTGGTGAATTAATCTTCCGGATTTTGACATCATCCCTTCAGTGCTCCATATGCAGTTATGCTATCAGGAAAAGCTACACCTTGTGCATACTTGTACAGTACATATACAATAACAGCACGCGCACTCTTGAAATAGGACTACATACACAAAGACAGATAGTTACAGTTTCTTGTTCAACATAAGTGAATAGCAACGAAGTGATTACTCTAATCCTGATCAGCTACCTCGACAAACACACACACACTCCCTGCTCATGTTTACTGAGAAGGCGTGGACAATGTGTAGGAACAATGACATGTGCAAATGTTGTGTTGGGCAAAGATCCATGGTGATAAACAGTGTCACAATGGCTCAGGCCACAGGCAGGGTGCTCTTCCCTCCGAGCCTGCCTGACCTGTTGTTTCAGGACCAGGATGTGTGTCTGTCCCTGCCAGCCCCACATGTGTGTGTGGCCCTCTGGGGTCAGCGTGGCCCCACAGTGCGCTTTGGAAACAGGATGTATACCTAGGGCTTACGACCTTACACAAGGACAAAAGAGACTAAAAACACGCACCGTCTCTTAACACAGATGCAGGTTCATACAAGTATGCCGTAGTAACAGTTAGCAAGATTACGGCGAAGCAGGTGTGGGGGTGACGATCTGTTAGTCATGAGGTGAACAGAGGTCATTATCTTACTGAGGGTTTGTGTTTTTAATAGCAGACGCCTTGGCCGAAACCCAGCCTCGTCTGCGCCATTTTTTCCCCCAAGATTTGAGCCTGTTGACAGGTCATATCACTCCCCAGCAGAGATAAACTGTGAGCAAGGCTACTCAAAGCTAGCATAGACAAAACATAATCCTGTGTTATCTATGTCACCCAATGAATACAAAGCCACGCTTGTTTACATTTTGAAAGCCAGCTCTGATACTATACAGCAAAGCTTGAAATTAGCTACCAGTTTAGTCTTTCCCTAGCCTACGCTTTTCTTATTGAGACTTAACTAAGAGCATAACAATAGTAAGTAAAAAAAAAAAAGTTTGATATTTGCAAATTAAATTTTAGCAAGTGTTTCAAAAATCATGTTCAGTCTGAGAAACCGATGAATGTGAATCTGGCACATTGTAAAAAAATATTGTTGGTTTAACTCAAAAAAGTGAGTTAATACAATGAAGGAGATTAATTTAATCATCAGAAACTCAAAATAATAAGTTATCTCAACTAAATAAATTATCTAAGTTGATTTGACAAAAGAAAAAATGTGACAACAAATTTTGAAAATATTTTTTATACAGGTACATTTTGCAACTGCGTATCTGAAATGACAGATTAGTGGCGCTAAAAGGTTGGTTCTTCACCTCTTAACTGTCACCCCCCCTTTTTTGAATAGACATGAAAATGCACATTTCGAACTTAAATGGTTGTAATTCAAGAATGCTTAGGAATATAGACATATGATTGGTCTTGTTTTAAAGAAGACATTTGGCAGATTTTTGTAGAAGTGAAATAAATTAAGAACGTGAAACAGAAAAAAAAGTTATAGAAGTTTGAGTTTATGGAAATGTACAATGTAAAAATATTAATTATTCATATTTTACATAAAATATATATTTTCAAAACCTGGGCTACTCTAAAACGGCAGAAAGATCAAAGCCAAAAATCTGAACAAGTTGTGTTTCAAATTTTAGGTTGATATATCAAAAAATGAGCTTTCAGTGAGATTTAGTTTGGGCGCAGTACCAAACTTTTTCACTAGGGCACAATTAGACTCCATTACTGCCCATATAAGGGCGCCTGCATTTCCATTCGTGTTTTGAGTGATATGAACCATTATTTTCACAATTTTCATACAATTTCTGAAGTAGAGATCCTATTCAGAAGTAGTATTGGAAGTTTGGCAGATTTTGAAATGAATTGAACCTCTAAGAAACACATACAAAGAACACGCATGTAAGTCATAGCTAGCTGCCACGTCACAAATGGTGAATTTATTATTTTTTTCTTGATTTTTCAAACTTTTCAGACCTTTTTTTCTAAATAATTGAATGGATTCTATCTTTTGAACTTTTGGCATGAAAACAAACTGAGGTATCTACCATTTTTTCATGATTTTTCATGTTTACTGCTATTTTAAAATAAAGGTCTGAACACACCTTAGGAGTATGAAAATATTCTTGTTGCATATTGATAAATTATGGCTAATATATTTTGAAAATCAGTCACCAAATATGGAAACTAGATATTGTAAGCTTTCAAATGATATATAGTTTGTCAATATTATTTAAGGTATTTACTAAGATATTATTGTTTTAAAAATATAGTGGCAAACGTCCCACCTGTGGGACGGTGACAGTTGATCGTGGATTAAAAATCCTTGTCGGTGAAACTGGGGGTAATTGAACTGACATGGACTTATATTTTTTTTCTGTCTGTTGCCTTTAACTTCATTGCTCATGATGGTCACTACTGAAGGGTTTGGGATTCTTGCAGTCTCATTAGCCAATCGCTGCTGTGATGATGTCAAAGATGGTCATTCTGTGGTCCTGCGGCAGCCGAACAGCTGCCATTGAAAAGAATGCTGTAACAGATAGCATTAACCAGATATCCACATGTTACACCCCTCCTTGTGTTTAGCTACCAGGGCCGGCTGAGGACGAATCATCAAATACAGGCCAAAAGTAAATCTACCCTGAGAGATCTAGAGTTTGCAGTGA